TCGAGAACGGTCAATATTTCCACCCTAGAGACCATGATTTTCGGAATTAGCGTGCTGAGAAGGCTCTGTGAGCCATTTTTCAGCGAAATCGGGATGGCCCGGTCATGGGTGGTAAGAACTTTAGAGGGTTCTATCTCGAGAACGGTCAATATTTCCACCCTAGAGACCATGATTTTCGGAATCAGCGTGCTGAGAAGGCTCTGTTAGCCAATTTTCAGCCAAATCGGGATGGCCCGGTCTTGGGTGGTAAGAACTTTAGAGGGTTCTATCTCGAGAACGGTCAATATTTCCACCCTAGAGACCATGATTTTCGGAATCAGCGTGCTGCGAAGGCTCTGTGAGCCATTTTTTAGCCAAATCGGGATGGCCCGGTCATGGGTGGTAAGAACTTTAGAGAGTTCTATCTCGAGAACGGTCAATATTTCCACCCTAGAGACCATGATTTTCGGAATCAGCGTGCTGAGAAGGCTCTGTGAGCCATTTTTCAGCGAAATCGGGATGGCCCGGTCATGGGTGGTAAGAACTTTAGAGGGTTCTATCTCGAGAACGGTCAATATTTCCACCCTAGAGACCATGATTTTCGGAATCAGCGTGCTGAGAAGGCTCTGTTAGCCAATTTTCAGCCAAATCGGGATGGCCCGGTCTTGGGTGGTAAGAACTTTAGAGGGTTCTATCTCGAGAACGGTCAATATTTCCACCCTAGAGACCACGATTTTCGGAATCAGCGTGCTGAGAAGGCTCTGTGAGCCATTTTTCAGCCAAATCGGGATGGCCCGGTCATGGGTGGTAAGAACTTTAGAGGGTTCTATCTCGAGAACGGTCAATATTTCCACCCTAGAGACCATGATTTTCGGAATCAGCGTGCTGAGAAGGCTCTGTGAGCCAATTTTCAGCCAAATCGGGATGGCCCGGTCATGGGTGGTAAGAACTTTAGAGGGTTCTATCTCGAGAACGGTCAATATTTCCACCCTAGAGACCATGATTTTCGGAATCAGCGTGCTGAGAAAGCTCTGTGAGCCAATTTTCAGCTAAATCGGGATGGCCCGTTTCTCGCTGCTGGATTCGCTGCTCGCTGCTCGCTGCTAGTTTGACAGACGTGTTTTGGCATTGTGCCAGTAGTGTGGCGTGCGCGGTGCTGCGTGGTCGTCGGGACGGAGTTGTGAGTATTTTCGGTGTTTTAAATGGTTGATGGCCATTTGAACCAGCTTTATATTATTTCCTACAAATTTTTGCATCAAATTATTGCTTTGAAAGACCATTGAAACCCCTTATCTCTTCATGAAACACGATCATATTTATCGTCGACGAAAATGGCGCGGGACCCCATGTGCGTTCCGATCGAAATAAATCGTAAATTAAATAATATTCGATGATAAGTATCATATTCTAGTGACACATTTTCATAAAATAAGGCATAAACTTTGCAAGGAAGTCAACATTGGATAATTGGATTCTTATTTTGCTCACATATCCTTGTGTAGTCAAATGGCTCAATTGTTAGATAAATGTAAGCATATGTTTTGGCTTGATGTTTGCTGTGAAACCACCCAGCCACTTGCTGGTTGAGTGGTTTTTGATAATAACCTGATAATCATTTCTCCTTTTCCTTAAAAGAAACTAAAATTATTTTCAAAGTAATCCATTTTTAGGAAAGGCGGCTTGCTCATTGACATTTCATGTTCTTGTTTTGTTATTGCTGGCAGTATTTTGATACAATAATGCAATATGAATTTTTTGCAATAATAAAACCTAAGACAAACCTAGTTAATGGGTCAATCAAACACCCAACAGAAAGATTGTGAGTCCTTGTGACGTGAAGTAGAACATTCTATGAATGTGTTATATATATAATATGCCAAATTTTAAATTAATGATACTGATAGCTGAGCATGTGAATTATGCCACAATATAATTTCATTTTCTGGTTTTGAAATAGCCGGCAGTATTTTACTTCAACAAATGTAATATACATGGAATGCATGTTGTTATGTTATGTTAAAAGTTTAATAACAGCAAACAGAAGGGACTGTTTCAGCAGATAATGTTTGTACCTTATGCATTACCTTTCTTTTCTGCAGGACTATGCTTCCGCTGGGTGGTCAACATTTGCCTCCTGAAGAAGTTGAGCAACATGAAGACCACCAGATGAGGTGTCTGCGGTTCATGTGGAACTCTGCAGACTACAAGTGTTATGCCAACCACAACCAAAGTGCTGTGATCATGGAGGCATGAACCTCATGACAACACTTCAGATTTGCATTTGTACCAAAGTGTGATTCAAACCACCTGTGGCATCTCACTCAATGTGTGAACAGTGTGATCATTGTGCAGTGTTCAGCTGCAACTAAGACATTTATTAGTGACTTGTTTTGCAATTAGCCACCAAAAGCATTTTTGGGCTGGCTGCTGTAATTTGTTGTGCACTGCGCAATAGTGGTAGTGTTTTGTCACTTGTCAAGTTGTCAGTTGTGCATGTTGCATGTTTCTCTTCCCTCGGCCCTCATTATCAGTTAAGTGGTGAATTGGCATCACTCAGTCTCCCCAGATCTCCATTGACTGTCTGTCAACCACCTAACTTGAGATGGTATTTGCTAATAGTGTCAGAAAAGAAGTGATTGTAGACATTTTTAGGAATATGAGCTCCGTTTCATGCGTGTTGCAGTGGTCATTTTGTCACTTGTCCCATAGTGTAATAAATGGAAACTGTTGTTCCCTTTTCAAGGTACTTGCGGATGCAGAAAGCGTTGGGCCTAATTATTAAACGCACCCTTCTATCAGCGACGCACGAAATCGACAAATATCATCCTTTTTAGAGCAGGAGGAAACGAAAACTTGTGAACATAGCTGTACCTACAACAGTGCATAAGGAATTGGAATTCTGGGAGTTTTTGAAATTCGGAGAAACTCAAGTTGTCGACAGGTATGCCCCCTTGTACGTCAAAGACCGCCTAAAAAACAAACGTCTACAAATGAAGGCAGCTGTATTCGTATGTTCGTTGTAATTGCAGCAGCCTAGCAACATGCATTGTGGTCCGATGGCGAATTACACTCGTGCTAAAAAACTATGCCGGTAACTGCCAACATACTTAGGTCGTAGGTGAGGAGAGGAAGGGTTATGTCAAATGTCAACATCAAAGAAATGGCTTCATCTGAGCCGTGCCTATTGTACATAATTCAACCAATCTATGCATTTCGTTTCTTGCAATCTACTCATGCTTTCACTCCAGCTTCAGAGTAATCATCCCATATTGTACGTCTTAAGATATTGATTTCTATGGCAGTTCGCAATTGCTAGCCACGTCTCACCTCAGTTTGGTGGCCCCGCATCGGCCCACTCGGCCGCGCTCGGCCGCTCTAAAATTGACTTACGGAGGAGGATGGTGGCTTTTATTTTAGCTTCTCCGCTGACTGCGGGGAGCGCCGTCGCCGAGGTCGGAGCAATAATTAGCTTAAGTTTGGGACTAATTTCCACGCTTAATTAACATTTTAATGTTATTTTAATTAATTCATGTTAATCTTTGACGCATTCTCTTTCTATTGATACCATCCACCGGTCTGAGAAGTACTGCCTTGCTGCGTAAGGGCCGATAAAAGATCACGCTTTTAAGGGTATCTCTTCAACATGGGGCAGGAGCAATAAATAGAGCGCTCTAATTTTAGCTTATTTCCCTGGAGTGTCACCAACTGAATAGGAATGCTTGTGTGGCATGATAACCCAGGATAATAAACCAATAATTGAATGCCCTGGATCAAACTTCAGCATCTCGAAGCTCACTTGCTCAGTGCCTACTTTGAGTTCAGCCCAAGGCTATATAAGTTCAGCCCAAGGTAATTGGTGGGAAATGGAAAGCCGACAAGTTGTTAAAGGTGCGGGTTGGAATCTTCTGATCGCGTCTTTCCATCTTTTGGCGTATTGTACGCCAAAAGATGGAAATGGAAAGCCATTGAAAAATACGATTACGATCCGCTGGCATGCGGAGTAAGTGGAGTAATAATAAAATTGTTGTTGTTGTTGTTGTTGGAATAGGACATAATAAAATTGTAAAGTAGGCTAACACTCACGCAAACAAAAGGAAACAGACGAAAAATCAAAATCAATCGGAAAAGAGCCCAACCCCCTCCTCCTGCACTTGGTAATTGGTACACAGCACATCGATATGTAAACAAATTATTTGATTGGTCTTTAATCTGCTTAAGCAAATGATGAGCAGCTGCTCGTGAATCTTAAGCCAATGAAATGCTGACTTTGCTCTGTGGTAAAGATTATGAACATTAGGGTTTTCAAGGCGTTATTGTAACCAAATTATGAAGGGAAATCCTTCTCATTAAGTATTATACCTTTATTATTTTCGATATTTAATTCATATTTTTTACTAAATATGCGTGGTATTGTTTTAAGAAATATGCTTTATAAAAATGAAAGACAAAAGTTAGGTCTTACTTGAAAGATTACATGTGTTTCACGTGTATTTTGAAAGCAAAGCTGTCTTTTTATTTTCCACAAGCATAAAAATTAGTTTTTCTTTGACAGCTAATGTGACGCTGTAGAATACCGACGCATGTACGTATTTCCCTGTGAATCAACGGAGAAGTTTGTAAAATTGGACGCCCACGGGAGAGTGGGTCAATTAGAAATTATCCGGTGTTCGTAAAACAGTAGGCGGAACTATGGTCAAGCGTACCCATTTTCGGGAACGCATTTTCGTTCCCATGTTTGGGAACGATAAACCCAAATATGGGAACGCCATGTAGGCATTATTTAAAACAAGAAAAAGAACCGTTAAATGACGTCCAAAAAATATAAAACGATCGTGAACCACCTGATATTTGTCTCAATATTGTTGGGAACGAGTTTGATATTGTAAGGCCCATCGTAGTTTCAAATCGTTCCCCTATTTCTAAAGCAGTCCATCATCCGGGCCGCGAGCCCAAATTTGGGAACGCTCTCATACACTAGCGCTGCAAGCGTTCCTTATTATGGGAACGGCGTACCCAAAATTGGGAACGATTTCACCGACGCCTTTCAGGGGCTCTTTTCATTAACAAGCATCACGTCCAACGCCGCAAATTATTGTTAACGCAACAATCATCAGATGACCTTTCCGGCAAGACCGTCGCATGTTTCGCCCGGTCTTCTGCGCTTTTATTCCCGTCGATCTCGCAGCGGGCACGCCCCCCTCTGCAGGATTACGTAATTCACAACGCTCAGCGATGTTCAACAAGGTCTTCCATACCTATATCCACCGTCCGCGCCGAGGGTGGAGACATGTCAAGCACCTGTCTGTTTATCACCGATAGTTGACGAGCACAAGGAAGTATCCAAAAATGGGAACGCTGAATATGTTACACCCTCAAAACACCTAGTCCCAATGAAAATCTAGTTTTTTCCTTTCTTGATGAGTGTAAGTGGCAAAAGGCCTGGTAGGATGGGCACGAGGAATGATCGAAATCAGCATAAAAATTATAAATAAGCCACACAGAGCGACCTATATAAGAGAAATTCCCCCAAAACGATCACGCTTAGAAACACAGAAGACAAAAACCACGCTCATGACGCTCCTCATAAAAAACTCGAAACAGCTAGCATCCAAATAAAATATGTCTATCTGGGATGATATAATACAGCTGAATAATTTAAAACCACTGAAACTGAGTTTACAACAGTAGTTCGGTAAAATCACTGACGTTCCATGCGGTCGTGCGCCCCGACACCAAATGTCACCAATATTACCCCCGGACTGTCCGCGTGTTCGCTTGCATATGTCAGCATCTGGTGTCGCTAGTATGAAACTTCATAACCAGGCGAAAATTATTATACTTGACCTCAAAATGTAAAAAACGCTTCATTTTCCTTAAAATTGCAAGTTAAATGTAGTATAACCCATGTTTTCACCAATCCGTCATTTCAAAAAATCATTAAAAATATCATTCGACGGTCAATTTCCTTGTGCAACGGTCAGATTAAAGATAATTTTATAGAGACTTAGTAGATACTTAAATTAGCGTGCACTTTTTTGAGACGTGATGCACTTATGAGTTTTAGTGGGTGAACGACCGAAAAATTACCTTCCGTTCCCATTAATGGGAACGCCCGTTCCCATATTTGGGAACTCCGTTCCCAAAAATGGGAACGTTCCTATATTTGGGTACTCATGACCATAGTTCCGCCTACTGAAAATAGACGTCGTGTGTTTTGTTGAAGGCAAAGTAACTGTGCCAAGGAATAAGACGCGCAAGTATTAGACTTAGATTCGAAGCTGCCAACTAACGGCTTATTTGAAGAGGTTGAGCGTCTGGTTCAGATGCAATTATTGTTTGCTGTTTCCTAGTGAATTTGTCAAGTGTTTCATGGTTCTTTGCATATTTCAAGGTGTTACTGGGAACATATTGCCCCATACTTCAAATCAAGGACATTGTTTGCCACTTGTCTGCAAGAGAAGGGAAGACCTGCAACAACTTTAAAAAGCCATCCGTGAAGCCGCCAGCCATTACGATCCAGCTAGTGGTGGTGGTGAACCTGCCTGTTGAAGGATGTAATGAAGATATGACTAATGAACAATAGTGTTATGAGCATCAGTTTGCTGCAGAAGATTGATTGCATATCTCCAAAGAATGGCTAATTCCATGGAGAATGGTGTTAAAGATGAGCCCAAGACTCAATTTACTGCACGCGAGGGAACCTATAGGTTGATGACACATTCAGACTACTCCAGACAAAATAGAGTTGGTTATAGTAGTACAGGACATGGGAATATTCCTGTCAGAGTTTCATTTGTTACTGTAGATGATACATGTGGCCCAAGTGAGAGGATATGCTTTAATTATGGAAGGGAACTATATGTGTATGTGTACAAGGGTGTACAAAAGGTAAGCTTATCCCTTTGTGCCAGACTTGGAAAACAAATCTGCATATTGGCTGTGTCCCAAACATTTGCTTTGTTCAACAAAGTCTGAAATTTATGGTTAGATTATTATAATCTTTGCAAGTTGAGCTAAATAACATTTTTTGTTGTTCTTAAACATGTAGCATAATGGCAATTGATTATGCATTACTTAATCATAGCATCAACAAAATTATAATAAGCCATGTTGTAACTAATTACCTACCTTGCTGAGTTACATGTTACCTGTGATGCTACCATCTTCTAAATATAGTACCTAATGCATTCCCTGCTTCTACCATCCATGCAATGTGAAAATGATAAAACTTCATTGCCTGTGTTTTTCCTTGTCCCATGACATCAACAATTGCCCTTGCCCCACTCTCACCTGATCTGTTCACCGTCCTTTTCAGGCAGTGGATCTGAGCAAACCTGTGGACAAGAGGGTGTACAAGAGCACGAGTCCAACATGTCACGACTTCATTGTGTCCAAGAGCTCACCGGACTCAACATCTCTGCTGGTGGGCTTCACCGGCGGTCAGGTTCAGCTCATCGACTCGGCACGGCAGGACGCCAGCAACATCTTCAATGATGAGGTGAGCTCAGTGGAGGGGTATCTTTGCACAGGATGACACTCAGCGGCTTGATAAGTGTGTTGGTTTGTGTGATTTTATATTGTTTTTATTAGCATCTATTCAATTATGAGATGGTTAAAGGATGGAATCTGACAAAAAACGTCAGTTTGTATGTGGCTGAGTTATCTACCTCCCGGGTCAAAACATTTGCTTACTTTGGCGAAACCTGTTCGACACAATAGGTGTTTTATGAGGTATCGACTGAACCATTTGTTTTCGGATTTCTCTATAATGTCTGAAAGACGACGGACGATAATATGAACGATATCGATTTATTTGAACGATATGAGAAGCTCATTCAAAATGGTAAATGATAGTAAAATGACGAAGTCACCTGAACGATCGGGAAAATGACAAACTCATTCAAATTTATGACCGCCGTTGTAGCCAGACCTATGTGGGTTTTCTATGACCTACAGCACTATCCTCTCACCGACTGCAGGTCGTTCTACCAACTGTGGGGAGTAAATAGCGAGCACTGTAGCGACCCGAACCGCACAGTCCCGAGAATCCACTATCGTTGCGATACAACGTCTTCCCAACTGACCATTAGGCCAGGTCTCGTTTCCGGTTCATTTATAACCGATTGCTGATTGATGTTTTCTGTCTAGCAGCTTCTCAGGCTGGTGTCATGAAACACGACACCGAGTAGTTACATGGGCAACTCACGGAATCAACCTTAGGGTCCTGTGCCTCATGTCGCTTTGTGTCGTCCTCATTCCAGCGTTGTGGCGATATAGCAACAGCTGAACCTCCGCGCACACACGTATTATATTGATTCAATAGAGCCATTGCTGTAATGCTGTTACCAGTACCACCCATTGAGCCGAGATATTGCGGTAATCTCTGTTGGTGACTCCGCCGGCAAAAAAGACTATCCTGCCGGTATCATTTCAAAGATAGGCGTAAACTCTGGCCTAGTTGGCTGTGTGTCGGGACATTTTTGTTCGAGAGCGTCTTAGCCGCCGGTACGGATGCTGTTTCTGTGTTTGTATGAAGCTGGATGCATTAGTCTGCTGTTCCGCAGTCACGATATTTTATCGTATGAGCATCCGGTCTTCAAAGTCATTCAATTCACCCATTCATACGTATTAGCCATCAACATTGCCGCGAGGCCCTGCGGAATTTCAGCCCAACTGGTTATGGCAAAAGTTGTTCTCTACTTATAATAACTCCACTTGCTGCATAAACTAACATGCTTGACATGCTTCCGCCTCTAGGGAGCATCGAATTTCCCGCCAAACTCAATACTGCTTATGCTAATTTATCGACGGATGTATTGAATTGCAGGCAGACTCCGTCAGATGGTACTTAGGATCGTGCGTAGTTGCCGTCTTGATTGATCGGCAAACTTCTTTTCATTGTTCTTCACTACTACCAGCTCTGTTTTTGATCGAGCTCCCGACTCTCGAGCTGGCTAATTTCCGTGAGTCTCGCGTGCTGCTTGTGAAATTTTAACTTTTACTATCTGGAAGTGTTACAAATGAATAAATATCATTTTTTAATGCTCTCTTTGTGACTTCGAAATTCCCTCAAGTTTTTTTTTTTTTAGCAACATTACCTATCGATATGGATGCTAAAATGCGTTTCATCTTCAATGCGAGTGTAGTTCTCCCTTTCGCCTTTTTGTTCTTGTCACGAGTCTCGTTCCATGTCGTTTGTCATTAAGTCACTGTGACCTAACTATCCGGCGGATAACTGGCGTTGATGTCTTGTGTTTCGGATATTATGCCTTGTGTTTAAGATTGAGGCGCCATTTCAGATCTTGTCCAGTCTTGTCCCTTTGACAACCTGACTCGATCAAATGCGAGTGTATGAAAATTTGAATGATTGAAGTAGTCGATGACAGGAATGGGCGAGAATTTGCTTTCCATGTGTTCAATGCGCTGTAATGCGGATCGTTTACAACGTCTAATGAACATTGAACATTTGTCGTGAGTTTCAGTAACTACATATCTGGTCGTTACCATGTCGGCCGAAGCTGCTTTTCTCTCGAGCTAGTTTTTGGGGCCTTTTTACGTATTATTACTCGAGTGCCGTCACCACTGATGAAAGGAGATAGCCTATTGTTTGCGGCCTTACTGATTGTGGTTCTCCAACGCGTCCTACGCTGACGTTTCGGGCGGTAATATGACTGCCACAACTAATTGTCAGTTTGTGGTAATTCATGAGGCTAGTTGGCTTCTTTTTCACGCCATTGGCTACCGTTAGGTAGGTGTGACTTACATGCTGCTTACTTGATAAATTGCGATGTGTTTCGTTCCCTGTGTGGGTTAAGTGATTAAGCCGCTGTCTCCGGACTCTCTGCCACAAAGTTAGACACTGGTGGTGCCCGTTCATCCCAAAACTCGTGTCAAGCACAGGACGTTAGGGTGGCCAGTCTGCGTATCCGTGGTGTGGTGGAACGAGCTCTAATAGCTTGCACCCATGTCCACGTTCTGTAGTCACCATTCACTGATTTTTAGTCAATTTATAAGGGAGTGTTTGAAAACAGTTGTTTTGGGAGCTACGTACGAGTGTTTGCCTTGTCCGTAAAAGTCATTTCCATATCTATCGTTTTGCCTAGGCAGAAGATTCGCTGGCCGGGGAAGGGGGAAGAGAGGAGATTGACTCCATTGATGATGGGCTTCACTCTATATGCACACTGAGTTAAGCTTAAGACTTAACATATCCATCTAAGCGCAAAACATTTTCTGGATGAGGATGAGAAGCATTTTTGTTGATAAAGCGTTATTTTTAAATTACGTCTGAGCAAGTTAGCAGCGACTATATCACCCAAACAAATATTAGATGAGGGTAAAATGGTTTGGTTTCCGCGCAAATTCTTTGATTGTAATATTTTTGTCACTTTATTACTTTTCTTTCAGGGGCTTTTATTAACTTTTATAAGATAACATTTTCAATCAGCGTAATTTGAGTCTAGCTTCCTTGACGGTCGACACCGAGGGCTGACATGACGCCCTATCGTTATCCTACTGTCAACACGGCACTCTTCACGGTAGCCACGTGGAGAAAGGCAGATAATGCTGATACAAGAATGCTATAGACAAGCACAGGCTCTTTCAATAATGCGGGGACTATGTTAATTGCTACTGTCAGTGATGAATACTGTTGTGTGATGACGTTTTATGACGTTGTCATATGATGAAACAAAGCTGGCGCAGTGTTTGATTAAAGAGGTATTTATTTGACTATCCTGGCTATCCTGTTCGCGCTTAATGATCTTTGCCCACTTCTGCAGTTTTCTTTACAGTAATGTCACCCCACCTTAGGTGTGATGTTCCAGTTTTACCTAGTTACTTGTTAACTGACCGATTTGACCTAAGCCGTATCCAAACACGGGTCGCTTGGTTTTACTATTTATATACACTGTGGGTTATACCTTATTTTTACACTTTTGCTCCCGCACCTATTTTATTAACCGAAGTGGATGACCTGAACAATGGATGTTCATCCTTTCACCGATACTATTTCTTATGTTGGGCACGTTGTTTTTTTAATAGTTAGGCCCTTTCTGACTATTGAGGCTATTTTTGACAATGTATGGTATGAGATGGAATGGACACTGGACACTGGACAGTTCAGGCTCAAGCCTCTTTCACCACCTGCTTCGTTTTCCACTCCTGTCCTCCAGATGTCAGCCTGTCGACCCTTGCGCTCCCGTCGCCTTTCGAGATGGCTAACCTTCTCGACTGCTATCTTTACCCGCTATCAGACATCGATACAATACTATCCGTCACTGAACATTGTACACGTGACAGAAGCGTGGACGATTAAGACGGACCAACGCACCGTGATTTGAGATAGTATGCTGTCTTCTGAGCAGGGATTTCAGGGCTGCGTTTCATGTCCTCGTTGTATTGTCGTCCTGAAACATACTTACTTGTCAGCTGCCTTTCAGTATTTTCGTCATATTTAAATGGATTCGACTTTAGGCTGATAGTCGGTATAATATTCTAATATAACATGTTACAACTCAATTGGGGATTGATTGGATTCTTCGTCGCGTCATGATGGAGAGCGATACAGTATCTCTGGGGATCGAATGACGATAAAATGCCAGTAATGCCTCCTATGACGTCATTAAAGCAGCCGAGGATGCTGCGCCGACCAATCCTGGGTGATGCATGACCTATAGAACCGATCACTTTCTTTGGGAAGAGAGCTGTACTGCTATTTGTAAACTGAGATTACCTTTTTTCATTGATTTTGTTTAATTTTGTTATAATTCACCCGCATGCTGAAATAAATAACGCTAAAAGATGAATAGCATATTCTGGAGGTCAGTGCCTCTCGCTTTCCATTTGGTGTCTTATGGTGTCAGAGGATTGGTGTCTCTCACATTGCAGAGCTCATATGGGACTTATCGGGTGATGTGCACTGTACACATTGCCTCTCGAGCTTTCCAAGCTGGTCAGCCTGGCTTACCGGGCAGCGATAACCATTTGGCTGCGATAACGTATTGATTGACGCAAAGTTACACAATCAACTTATGAATGATCGTATAATTGTTGTTTCATTATTAAAGTTCTTTTATAATTATCTTGTGAATCAAGCGTTAATCTGCAGAGCAATGACCATAAGTCGCATCTCGCATACGTTGTTTACCTACCTGTTGTTTACCTACGCTACTATGTTGTTTGTACATCACGCTTAGTGCGAGAGACATCTCGCGTTTGTGGTCAATGGTCAAACAATTTGCACATCCAATATAGCCATAAAAAGCGGGATTATCTCTCTGGCTCTTTTTTTTTTTTGGTGTCGCACACCACACTAATCAGGGGCCCCGGGAGCGATTTTCAAGTTGGGGGGGGGGGGGGGGCGAGCCTAAAATGCCTGACATGATGCATATGAAACAGTGGCGTAGCTAGGGGTCTAAGGGGACACTACCCCCCCCCCCCATCGGGACAAAAGGGACCCTCGGGACCGAGGGGCCCTGCGGCGCCATTTGACCGCTGAGGGTTAACGATGGCCTATTTCTACTCAGAAGGGCCCCATGGTGCTCGTTAGAGCACCTCATGGGCCCTAAATAGCCACACTAAGATCTCCATAAGGGCCCCACGCCGGCTTCTGAGGGCCTCTTGCGGCTTATAAGCAATTTAAGGGCACTTCGGTGGTCTCCAAAGGCCCGTTACTGGCCTCTGAGAGGTCTTACCGGCCTATGAGGGACCAGTTCTAGGGGCATTTTCCGCCTGTGATGGTCCCACACTTATTTTTCTGAGGGCCCCATAACGGCAACTGTGGGGCCCTCTTCGGCGCCTATGAGGGTCCACACCGGTGTCTCTGAGGGTTTCACACCCCCAACTCTGAGTGCCTACACCAGTACCTATTAAAGCCCTATATTGGCGGCTCTGACGACCCAACCAACACCTGCCCATCTAAAGGCCACCCACTGGTGACTTTTGAGGGCCCATACTGGTGACTCTGAGGGCCCCACCGGCGTCTGACAGTACCATGCCGGTCTCTAAGGACCCCACAGGACTTCTTCTGCCGGCCTAACGACCCCTTGCCGGTCACTGAGACTGAGACCACTGAGACCCCCTGCCGGCTTGTAGAGAGTTCGCGTCAGCAGCTCTAAAGGCCCCACACCCGTCTGTAACGGCTCCACACCAGCGTCTATGAGGGCCCATAGCTACGCCTGTAAGGACCCTCATCGGCGCCTCTGAGAGAATCACACTAGCACCTCTGAGTGCCCACACCGGCACCTGCATGGCGGCCCCACACCGGTGCCTCTAAAGGCCCCTTACCGACGGCTCTGAGGGCCCTACGCCGGTGATTCTGAGGGTGCTACCGATAACCGAAGGCACCACACAAGCCCTTAGTGTCACTGAGCTTTAATCCCATACCGGCCCTCCGAGGGCGCAACGTCAGTGCACTCATTGCCCCACACCCCTCCATCACACTAGGAGCGGGTAAACTGTGTTACACCTATAGCAACGATTTTACCACCGTTGTACGTTATGTATTTCTCAAAGTTGACTCAAGCTGGTGCAATATAAAATCTGGCTTGCCAAACTTATGGCCAAGGTCAGGCCCAAATCAAAGCGGGATGACAATAGTAGATGTTGTCAAATCGATACTGTATCAGCAGAAACCATTCAGATGGCAAGGGAAATGCCGTGTGTTGATGTGTAGATTATAAAGGAAACAAGAAGGAAAGAAGTCCGGAAAAGGGAGGAAAGATCTTTTCTCGCTGCCTCAATGTTGAGGGGGCGCCGCCCCCTCGGCTCCCAAGTTGGGGGGGGGGGGGGCAAGCGCCCCCGCTGCCCCCCCCCCTGTTCCCGGGTCTATGCCACACTTTCCGAGTTCACAAGTGATCATTCAGACAAAAGTCGATCACAATATTATGCCATTGAAGCAAACTGATGCTTTGCATTCGACATACGCCAGCCTGTTGACACCCCCTGTTCACGGCTGCCATATCTAACCTTCCATCTTCTCTCTAGTTCTAACCCTTACCCTTTTCTCTCGCCCACAGCAACTGATCGAGAAGACCCGGGTGACGTGCGTCAAGTGGCTGCCCAACACACCGCACCAGTTCCTGGCGTCACACGCCAGCGGCCACCTGTACCTGTACTCGGAGCGGCTGCCGTGCGGCCCGGCCGCGCCCACCTACCAGACCTTCAAACAGGGGGACGGCTTCACCGTGTACACGTGCAAGGCACGCAGCACGCGCAACCCTCTCTACCGCTGGGCGGTGGGCGAGGGCGCCGTCAACCGGTTCGAGTTCTCTCCCAGCGGGCGTTACCTGGCCACAGTCTCCCAGGATGGCTGTCTAAGGGTGTTCCGGTATGATAACATGGAGCTGGCAGGGGTGGCGCGCAGCTATTTCGGCGCGCTGACCTGCGTGGCCTGGTCGCCCGACTGCCGGTACGTGGCCGCCGGTGGTGAGGACGACCTGCTGACCGTGTGGAGCGTGGCAGAGCGCCGCGTGGTGGCGCGTGGCCGCGGCCACCGCTCCTGGGTGGCCGACGTCGCCTTCGACCCGTACACGAGCGTGGTGGACGGCGGCGGCGAGCCCGCCTCCAACGGCAACGGCTACTCGTCGGACGAGGGCGGCGCGGCGCCGGCGCCGCCGCTCGTCACCTACCGGATCGGCTCGGTGGGCCAGGACACCCAGCTCTGTCTGTGGGAGCTCACTGACGACGTGCTGCGCCGGCCGTACGGACGCAGCCGCGCCAGTGTGGCCGGCGTGGCCTCCGAGCCGGCGCCGCCCGCCTCGACGGGCTCGCTGTCCGCGCGGCTCTCCTCCCTGGGTCTGGGCGGCGAGCAGCGGCGCGAGCCCGGCCGCCGGCTCGGTCTGCTGCTCGGCGGACACCGCGCAGAGAAGGCCGCAGAGCGCGCCGGCTCGGCGGCCGGCGGCGGCGGCGCCGCGCAGCGCCGCGAGCGTGACCGGCTCATCGGCACGCCGGGCTGCCCGCGGCTGGCCGACTGTCCCATCCTGGAGCCGCACGTCAGCTGCCGCGTGTCGCACGAGCGCCTGACGGCACTGACCTTCCGCCGAGATTGCGTGGTGACCGCCTGCTGCGACGGCTACGTCTGCACCTGGGCGAGGCCCGGCACCGTCACCGTAAGTGCCGAGAGGAAGGTGGGCGTCTAGGGGCTGGTGGGAGTCTAGGGTATGGTGGGAGTCTGGGGCACGGGTGATTACCGCCGGTATGGTGAACGAACACTGAACAGGCTCGCGTATTGTTAGCAGCATTGTTCTCACGGTGAGTTAGTTACTCACTAGCGGCAGCAACACGTTCAGCCGATGAGCAACACTTTCTTCTCGGCTGTTGATCTGCTGTGCGATTTGCCGTTCTCCCGGGACATTTGAATTCCAAAGTGGCCTCGTTCTTGACCAGATTAATGAATTATTTGTTTCACTCAAATGTCTGTTACTCATCTCTTCCCTTGCTTCACAATTTTCATTTAATCTCGCGATGAATCCACACCAGTCAATATGCAACCAACTATGCGCTACGCGGTTAAGTCAATTTGCGCTGTGTTTATTTGAGTGACATTTGTTTGAGTTTGCCATTTGCCATTTGACTGTGTTTATTTATAAAGGGCTACATCGACCTGCCATTAGTGATTGTGATGGTTGTGATTGAAAATCTGCCTTTGTCAATTTGCGTCACGCCGTAAGCTTGAGTAGGTACAAACAAAATATCGTCTTAGATGCCCAGGTATCTGTTTGGTACCTATTCTTTCTGTTCCATCGTAAACATGGAATTACAATGTGGTAAGTTTGTACGTGTATATTTATTTCTCGTCCTCTTTGTCACCTGTCTGTCTCTACCATCTGGTCACCGTGCGATGGCTGCTGAAATAACGTGCCATTCGCACCGTCCCTTGTGGGCTTAACCGAGCGGTCAGGCGCCCTTGGCACCTCCAACCTACCCCTCCGTCCACGGGTCCCACACGACCCCCTGGCGCCTCAGACCTTTTCGTCCTCGGGGCCCACTCAACTATCCTGTCAGCTGTCCTCTGCCCATTCGACCACGTCGGCGCCTCTGACCCCCACCTTCCGTCGTCGGCAGGGTGCGTGCTCGAGCTCGAGTCCAGCGGCCACGCACGGCGACACGAGCACCGTGGTCTGACGCCCCGGCCGGCACCAGAGCCGGTCCCAACTGTGATAGAGAGCACGGCCGCGCCACCTGTGCGGCGCCGGCCCAACTCGAGTCTGCCGCTCGGGCCGGCAGATGGCGCGCGGAGCGCTCCGTGTCGCGCGGCCGCCGCTCGGGTCTCCTGCTCAGCGGCCGCCTCCCTCGTGCGCGCGCGTGCAAGATATTTATAGTGAAATATATGGTGCTTCGATTGTGTCGGGTTTCAGAGGGCATAGGACCTTTGGGGGGAGGGGGTGCGGGAGGGGGTCGTAAGTGTAACGCGGGATGCAATAGGAGGGGGCTGGTGACAACTCCAGCGCCGACTACTGGGTACGGAAAACACAGGGGTGGTAGTCGAGCTAGGTACCTGGGGCAAGTTGGCCGGAACACTGGGTAACATATACGGGTGTCGATGTTCACCTGGATGACTACATTGTATCTTCATTCGGTCATTCGGTCAAATGCCGTCTTGCGATGCCCGTCCTTGCTTCGGTCGACCCGCTCCATCGTATGAACAGGTATTATTCGTCGACTTATACCCTGTGTGTGTTAGCTTTATCTAAGGGTCATATGTCCTAACAGAATTCCTTCATACAGCATTAGTTACCTCTCGTCGTTGGGATTAGTTTCGCTACCCCCGTTAGGTTCGTGTTACGCCCAAGTGTTCGACGTTCGTTTAACGCACCTCAGTTGAAGACCAGGCCACAATGCGGGGACGAAGAGGACCCGAACATCGGGTATATCAACACAGCGGTAAAGCCAGCAGCATCAATCGGCCAGTCCCCAGCTCTGACATGAAGTCCGAGCTGCGTCACGGAGCCTTCGTGTGCTGCCTGCGCTGTCTCTGTCGGTAAGTCATGAGTTGATGTAGCGGCTTATCCCATCGATAGTTCTGTTCAACATCCTATAACGTATTGCATAGCTTGCATGTAATACAGGTTAATAATTGCAGAATTCATGACCAACAGGCTCCATTGGCAGAGCCAATTTAGGCGTCCTATAGGGTTTTCCTCTGGCAGACGGCAACTCATGACAAATATATATTCTCGCAGACTAAATGGAGACAGCCGTTCAATATGAAGTAACTCCTGTATCACTCACTCCAGCCACTAGCCAGCCAATACCTGAGTCTCTCCCTGGTTCTGAACTGGTCTGACCTGAACGACGAGCTTCGCCCGAACGTCCAAACACCGGACTTTCACGAGACAAGCCCAGCAGTGACGCCGTACGGTCGTCTGAAGGAGGCCTGCTCAGGTCACCCATATTCCGAAACTACCGTGCAACTTTTGATAACTCTCATGTGGCCAGTGGCCCACTTTTAGTGAACCGATAAAAGCTTATCAATACTTTTACTTATGAATACCCTGTACTTACCTTATCCGAATCGGCCCAGTACCTACGTGGTTTCGGAACACCGGCTCTTCTGCAACGATGTTAGGGTTTTCGAACTGATTTGGTCCACTTAGAGGGAAACAGTCAAAAATTTGCATGAATGACACCGTCTTAGAGGGCCTTGGTAACAACTGGATTTCCATTACGTCATGGGTGATGATGTCACACCACGGGTGACGTTTCACTGCTGCTGCTGCTGTCCACGGACGGCAGCGTTTGTGAGTGGAAAACAGTAGCAACATTGTAAATGAAGGCAGTATTGGCGCTTATGCTGCATATGAAATTTATAACAACATGTTGATATCAATATTAGTGAATGTTTATTTTTGTTACTTTTCATAAACCCTCCATTTCAGGGTCTGCATGCAAAATTTCTGTTATTTTAGGGTCAAGCTATTGTACTAAGGGATTTATTTTGGCAATTAAGTCATTTGTTAGGTTGTAAGGCTTCATAAACTTTTAGTTGAGGTTGGTATCCACTATCCAGTTGCAGCTATAATTGTGTCATATTTTGTATCATTTTCTGAACATGTAAACACCTACCTATATGAATTCAAATATTGTGATTGTAGAAAAGCAGTTACCCTCACATTGCAGCGGGGATTAGAACAATTAACCACACTTGTTATACAAAAAGCCTGTTTGCCATCAATTTTGGGAATTCAAATTGGGTATTGGTAAGGTAGATGTAGCACAAGCTGCCCGATGCACGAGAATGGGTCTTTCTAACCAAACCTTACCTAACCTGACCTACAACCTACAGCCTTAAACCTAAAATTTACAACCTACGACCTAGTCCTACGGTATGGCATATCACAACAGCTTGTGCTACGTCTGCTACCATGACCCAACTTTGTGCCAATTCATACCAACTTGGGATGACAGTCACTGCAGATGTGTGCTGACCATGCAGGTCTTTGTTACAATTGCAATTCTATTGTGTTACAGGTTCAGCATTCTACAGCTGCGACCCGCCATGGCTGGGCCACCGCGGCGGCATCACCTTCAGGGTGGACCTGCCCATGGCCACCCGCCGGTCGGACCCGCCTGCAGTCTGCAGGGAAGCTGCCCTGCGAGCCATTGCAGAGCTCCCGCACCCGGACGTCACTATCTGGTCGGACGGCTCGGCTCGCGGCGGACGGAACAGGGCGGCGCAGGCGCTGATCCAGTTCCACCACCTCAACAGAGAAGAGACCGTGCGCGCTCCTGCAGGGGCGGTCTGCTCCAGCCTAAGAGCAGAACTGACCGCCATGCGCGAGGCGTTCGCGGCTGTGGCCGGCCTGGAGGACGGGGAGTTGGCATCGACCAAGTCGGTCCGCCTCCTCACCTCACCGACTCAAGGTCTGGGCTCCAACTACTCGGCCGCGGCCCAGCTAACTAGACCATGGCCCTGGCCGCCGAGGTGTGGAGGCTGCTGAGTGCTGAGCACCCTCGCCGAGAACGGCACCGAGACGGTGCTCCAGTGGGTGCCAGGCTATGCCGGGCTGGACGGCAACGAAACCGCCGACCGCCTGGCTGGCGAGGCCACGGCGGGCGACCAAGACAGCGCACCGATCGACCTGTCGAGTGCGCGGGCCGCCGTCATGCGCCATGTCCGGGAGCTGTCGCGACAGAGGGCAACCGCTGCCCACCCGCACCCGGACCCCACGCCTGGTCACGACTCCCTGGCGCGCTGGGGGTCGGTGACGCTGTCCCAGGTGAGGACCGGCACATCACCGCTGACCCGTGATACGCTCCACAAGATTGGCCCGGAAGTCGACGACGAATGCCCCGCGTGCGGGGAGCCCGACAGCGCGGCGCACCTACTGACCGATTGTCCGGCCTATGAGGCGGCCCGCCGCCGCCGCTGGGGTGTCGACCCTCGCCTGGTCGACGTCCTCGGCGGCCCGGCGACGAAGGTCGTCACCTTCATCGAGGATGTTGGGCGGACCGAGCCGCCGCTCGACCCGCCTGCGCCGCCGCCCCCCCTGAGCGGGTTGGCGGTGGGATGCAGAAGAAGAAGAAGAAGAAGCAACTGCCAGCGCGCCACGGCGGCGAAGCCGAGTTCCGCCGCTGGACACCCGCGCAATGGCCAGCACAGACAAGAGACAACCGAATCACAACACCTACAATTACGTTATTGTTATGGTATTGACATTGTTACAATTAACCCTGCTCTTTCGAGCGTGGATGCACGCTGAAATTGTCGCATAATTCCATGCAGCTTCCACCCTTCTGCAATACAAAGTTTGAATACAAAGTAGTCTTGCAATAGGTTTAGAACTTATGTGCAGATTGTCGATGCTGGTTGACTTGATGATTGGAATTGTGTTTACCTGTTTCATCTGTTTTGACTTAAATATATGGCCATGGACTATGGCCTACCTTGGGAAGTGTCTCTGATTTCAACAAAACATTTTTCATCAGGATACGCTGCAGGGTACATAGTACATACGTAGTGAAAATTTTGAGCATGTATGGGTGCGCATGTGGAGATGTAGACTGCGAATGAGACGGACTACGACGGTTTTTGAACCAATTAAATCTGATTGACAACATAATGTAGGACTAAAAACTGACTGTCAGAAGAATATTCACAGAATATTCACTTCACCCGGTACAACGAAAAGGGAAAGTCAGGGAACAGAGGCAGGTTACATCTCGAAGATCAATCAAATTGCAGGTGCCGATTGGTTATGGATCATCGCAGCTCAAGGTACTGCCTTGTGCTGCTTTATTGTTAACTGAAATTGCTTCCACCTTGTATTGAAAGAAGTCATTATGGAAGATTTTAAAAAGGTTCTTGAAAAATTTAAAAACTTTGAATTTATATTTCTGCAGAATTATACACCCGTATCATTCTTTACATGTCAATATTAGTATATTATCTAGCATATAAGAAAATAGTGGCCTCAAGTTTCTAGAAAATATCTGATTTTGCTCTCTGGGCCAATGCAGATCCCTAAAAAGTTAGGAGCCGTCTTCATTATTTAATGTATAAAACCAAATAAATTATCACTGCTCAAAATAGGAAGAAATGACAAATGAAAAAAAAGTTTTCCTACAGCGCTGCAATCCAGATTTCAAGATAGTGATGGGCACACTAGAAAGCAAGTAAAAGTACTCCACAAGGTAAAAGTAAGAAAGAAGAATATCCTTATACTGTTTCAGAATTGGGTTACAAATATTTTTTATGTGTTTTAAATACCCAAAGCAATCGATTCCACAATCAGTCTTGATGATATTATATGGTTTTTGTATGGTGTTGGTGGTACTTGAATGACCAACGTCAGTACATGTCCATCACCTTTCGATATTTCCGTGGTGCTCGCTCCCATTTCATAGCTGCTCACGGTGTTTTCTGCTGACGTCATATGGTGCTGCTCCACTAGCGCCACCATACGGCGTCAGCTGGCGAATTATCCAGTTAATACCAGAGCCCGTCTTAGATAACAGCGCATTGAAAGGTAAACATTTCTTTGAAATCACTTTAGTAGTTTTGGAACCTAGGCTTGCCTGCTTATCTTGTCTGCTTTTTAGACACCAATTCAGGGTATATACACCAATTGCTCTTTCTTTATTTTTGATCAAGGTCAGTAAGCGTCAATCTTAAGTCAAGCTAGGATGATGACGTCACTGGCTTTTATACTTTTTACCTGGATGATGCTGCGCATCATGATCTGTCTTGAAGAAAGTGAAAAGTTTTCAAAATGAGGGGCGATAACAAAGGCGGCATCAACTGAAAGCAGTCATATTTATACCCAACTAGCAAAATGTATATTGTTAACCTACTCTGATTGGTTCAATTACTATGACGTCATTAGACTACTTTGAAAAGCTAGC